TTTTTCCCCACCATTTTTTAAAGCTTAAAGCTTAGGTTAAAAGGAAAAAAATAAAAAAAAATTTCCCCTCTAGTGGCAGAAGGCGGAATAGCAGCTTCCCATTAGTTTCTATGGACGAAAAGAGCATTCCTATTCGACTTACCAACTTTTCGACCTGAGAACTGCCTTCCAATACGGATTAAGTTCGTAAGTCGAGACCCCACTGTATGGTGGTGGCAGCAGCCTCAGTCAACCTTCCCAGAGCACTGCTCTCTTTCTGCTCATCTAGCCAACTCCAGGCAGAGGGAGGGAGGATGCATGGCTGCCAAGTGGCTAGATGAGCGGAAAGAGAGCAGTGGTCCAGGAGCCATTGGAATGCTGACCGAGGCTGTCGGTGGAGGACATGAGTTAAGTCCAGCTGTGCAGGGGTATTCATATACGAATACGAATACCCCATCTCTAGTCCAAACCAAGCTAGAAACTAATTGAATAGCTGAATTGGGCTACAGATTGCATCAGGCAGCTGGCACAGCACTCATCATAATTGTTTGACAAGACTGGCTCTGAATTAAAAGGTCAGTCCAGGGAACACACAAGGTTTGTATGTGTGGATGCTTCTCTACTTATTTAATTAACGGAGCTGACTCCATATAATGCAAAAGGAAGGAACCCTGAGAGTTTTCTCCTCTTTCTTCGTCACAAGAAAGGGGGTAACCCCTTGTAGGCCTAAATGCTCCTGCAAACTTTTACTTCACCTTAAAATTGCCTTGAAATTAATTAAAATGTACTGTAAATTTTCTAAAAGTGATTTAAATTCAAAACCAAAATCTTAGAGTATTTGAAATATAAACAAAATTAACTCTGAGGTCTGAAACTTTGCTGAAGGTCGAATTTGAACTTTATATACCATGCAAAGGAGAGGTCACAGCATAACAATTCATTTTTATGTTATTCTAAAATAATCTAAGTAGAAAAGGAGATATCTCATGCCTTAGATCAGCTGAAAGAACTACAATAATGGCAAGTAATGTTCTCAGGACAGAACAAAATCAATAATCTGTCACAGCTGCTTATTTTTTCTGGCAGAAAAAAAATGTAAATCTTCTTTTGAAAATAAAGGTGAAAATAGTGTTGCCAGCACATGCACACACACAGGAATGCAAACCACAGTTTACTGTTGCAATTTGCCACTAAGACTTTCGTGATTTTTTTTTTCTGTGAGTTTAAATCACCAATGAGATTCTGGACAAATAGGTTGCTCAGATTAGCGATGGCACTAGAATGAATACTATTGAGGGGATGAGATGAAACAAAAATCTAAAGTCAATGCTTATTTGTAAAAACAACTAACCTATATCCTTCACTCTGTCCCTAGTATATCTGTGCCAAAAACTTTCTTCTGACACGTCAAGGGCACGCCAGGCATCCAGCAGATTATAGGAAAACACATTACTCCACACACCTGGAGAGAATGACAGAGATCTGGTAAGAACATCTGATACAATATGATAGCTGTACAACATTTTGTTTGGGGGCATTTACCAGTTCCTACTGTGATGATTTATCAGATCATATAGTAAAAGCAGTAACTTTATGAAGCTAAGTATCATGATGTCAAAGCCCAAGGAGTTGGTGTGTGTGTTTTAATTTAATTTTTATGATGATGCTGTCTGCCAAGCCTCTGTTCCCTGGGAACTTAGCTGCAGTCCTGGCAGCAGCTATGTATACCTGTTTTCCCCAGCAAAACTATGCTGTGTGAACTGTGCGCACTATAAGGAAAATCATTTAGTTGTGCCTGGATCTTAAGTTCAATAGCTTTACAAAAGACCTGCCCTCTTTTCAGCATTTTTCTCTTAGTTGCTTTGCTTCTTCCCTTAGTGGCCTTGGAGAAAGATGCGGCTGGCAAGCATGTATCCTAGTGTCCCAATGAACTGAAGAACACATGTAGCAGCAGAAGTATTGCTAAAAATGCATATTGTTGAATTACCATCAAAAATATCAACCACCAGTCTTCCAAAGTAACATGGCACTGGGGTTTTTGCTAAAATCATCACTGGGGTTTGAGCTGGGTGCTTTCTGACAAAAACAAACCCATTCGCAAAACTACCACCAGAGGGCAGGCATTCCCTGTCTCTGTTACTCTTTGCCAGCTACAAATCGGGGATAAGCTCTTTAAGCATTTGTTTCGCTTAAAGAGTGGGACCATTTTAGGTGACATTTTCATTGCAGGGTGAGATTTTTAGGTAAATACAAATATGGAGATAAATGCTGTGTGGTGTAGTGGAAAGTATGAGGACTAGGACTCAAGACAACTTGTCTCAAATTCTTGTTTGGTCATGAAAACTTGGTGGAGGTGGAACTGTAAAACCATTCCTTTAATATCTCAACATATTTTGAAATCCCTGTTAGGGTTGTGTGAGGGGAAAGCTGAGGATGTCATCCTTGGTAGGCCGTCTAGCCCCAGCCAAGGCCCTATGAAGAATAGTGGCACCAAAACAGACACAGGACTGGGGGTGGAAAAGTCAAGGAGAGCCAGAGAGACAGAGGAAGTACTAGACAAGGGGAACCCTCTGGAGAAGAAAGAAGGGAAAGGAGCCAGTCTTGAGGTCTGGCATATAAAGGACCTCTCGGAGGAGGTAGGAGGATAGTTGGAGGAGGAAGAGGAGACCAGAGAGGAAAATCCCTCAAAAGGGGGAAGAAGAGGGAGCCCCGTCCATGACGAGTCAGGTAAAGGATATAATGTAAAATAAGATGAGGATGAGGACCCAGAGCCAAAGGATGAATGGGACTATGTTATAAAGGAAGACCTTTATAACGTAGTCCCATTAGGAAAGGAGTCTTGGTTCAATTGAAAGTAAGAGGAGGGAGAGCACCGACATTACAGCCACCACCATATCCTCACTACTAGAGGGAGCACTGAGAATGGCTGGGTCTGAGGCATCGATCCAAGATGGATCTGAGGGAGCTGGCCCTCACTCAGCAGTGTTAACTGCAAGGTCAGCCCCAGTAGTCACCAACCCAGACCAGCAACACATCAGGACCACCCATACTCCATGTTCCCTGCCCTCAGTGTGGGCGTAGAAGCCCTCATTTCTCAAGGCCCCCAGCATCAGCACTTCATGGCACCCACCTGTAAGACAGACTATAAACTCTCACATCCCAGGGCCATTAACCTAGGGTGTGGAGGAAGACAAAACTGAGCCAGGGCTAGTGACCCAAACTAGTCCTGGAGTTGTACAGTCTTCAGAGCAACCAGCTATTGATTCCTTAGTCAAGGGAATGAAGGACCTTGTTGACCCTGGTGGGGACAGTGGGGTTCACAAGTTGCCATAAGTCAGATGTAACTTGACAGCATGTCACATAACAACAGATGTGGAGGAGAGGCTTGTATACAGTTAGATAGAAAATCATATATCTGAAGACTCTCTCTCTCTCTCTCTCTCTCTCTCTCTGTGTGTGTGTGTGTGTGTGAGAGAGAGAGAGAGAGAGAGAGAGAGAGAGTATTCTCTCAGAGATTATACATTTAAAGGCAATGATCTAAATACAAAGGTTAGTCCCAGCTGGAGTACAGTTACTGAATCAATACTTACATAAATGTTAACTTATTAGATTCCCATTGATTCAGTGGGCCTACTCTAGTTGGGATTAATTACTGGATTGAGTTTGTTATTTGAAGCTTGATGCAGAGGCTGAAATGAATAAACTAAGGCGTCAATAGCAGTATTACATGCAGGAGACATAGTTTAAATTTCTACCGAACAGCTGCAAGAACCTGATTTCTTTGATAAGGGCCCACTACACTAGTTGACATGAGATTCTGTGGGCATAGCCCGCTTCTTCAGATTCATGTATTACAGTATTCAAGCCACCAATTGATATGTACACTGGTTAGGTTTATGGGAGCATTACTGAATGAGCAAGACTGGAGAATATGACAAGGATATCACTGCTCATAAACTTTTAAGAACTGTATAGCAGAAACACTCTGTAATCAGTAAGGTAGCTTACACGGACTATTTTGGGGGGAGTTGAGGGCTATGTGCAACTTAATGAATTTGTAGGAAGAACTTCATTACCACCTTTTTTCCATGGGTCAAAATATAATAAAAGATCTTCCAAATAAATTTCAGATGAAGAAGAGGGATCCAAGCAAGAAGTCTCCTCTCTAGGTGCCAGCTGTGCAACTACATTGCAGACAGTTT